AAACAGCCTATTTCCCGCTCTTATTATGCTTTCGCGGTCCACAATGAATGAATGACTGGCTGACTGACTGACTGACTGTAAGAGGATTTGTTTGTTTGCGCCCTAACGTGATTCTTCCCATGAGCGTGGTTCAATGTTCAGATAGCGATGTACACCCAGAGAGAGAGAGAAAGCTATAATTAGCTGTGTTTGTGTCTAGACGTTGTTCGGCCATTGGAATCGCGTGTGTGAAGGAAAAGGCTTTAGCATTTTCTTCTCATACGCGCGCGCGCACACACACGCACACAACGCTTCGTTCCTTCCGAAGGCACTTAGATCCTGTCGACGTGTTCGCTTTGGTGGACGGCAGGCTGAGATAAATTTAGAAATGCATTCTCACGCACCCACATGCATCAACTCACGCACACACACACACACACACACACACAGGGTTATTACGGAGAATTGCTATGACGTACAAACCATTCAGTTCTTGCGCGCACGCACGCGTGTGTGTGTGTGTGTGTGTGTGTGTGTAAATGTGTGGTCACGCAACCTCGGAGCTATTTATGGACACCTCAGAAACATAAGCGGGCTCCGGGTACAGTTACATATCTAAATTCCATGTGGGTAATGGAGGATTTGGTTAAGTTTCAAATGACAATTCGTCGTGTATATGGCAAATGAAGCGTGAACTGAAAAGCTCGGAAGCACTGGACAGCTGTTTCTAAATTCGGCTCAACTCGTCCGTCTCACTTTTGTGTCATCCCAAAGCGTATGCGCGCGCGTGTGTGTGGGCATACGTGCGTCTACGTGCGTGCGTATATGCCATCCCGTATCTGCTTGCCTCAGAATAAGCCCAAGCCCTTTGGTTGATTCAGTTGGGGGGAGGGAGGGCAGGCCTGCTTTCATGTACATCAATCCCAAATAATTCGGAAATGTACGTATATCTTCCGCACATGATCTCTCAGACATACAAACATATATTGTACAAAACACGTGCATGTATTTGCTCGACTACCGCCTGAGCGCTGCAGTCCCACTGTCCATACACACACACAGCCCAGCTTACTGAGCGTGTTTTTGCCTAAAATTAGATCGCATCTTGCGAGTGTGACGTAAACACAGTGACACAATCCCGGACACAGATAGATGGATAGA